GGACTTCAACTCCCATGGCTGGCTGGGGGAATTCTGGGAGGTGAAGTCCACTCATCTTAAAGTGGCCAAGTTTGGACAACACTGTGCTAGGGTATCAGAAGCCCAGGGCACTCTCCATTGCTGTGGAGATGATTAAACCACCATAACACGCCCCTTAGCTACCCCATAAATGATGTAAGTTGAAGAACCTTATAACCCATCCATGAGAAAGTCACTGGTTTTTTTTGTGTTTAAAAGCAAAACAATGAAAATGGTGGGAAAATACAGAAGGAATGTTTGGCACAGTACTACTTATTATAAAATAAGTAGCTGGGAGTGGGAGGGGGAATCAATTGAGCAAATTAGCGAAGTATGGAGAAAAGCAATTGAGCTCCTATAGCTAAAAGACAACATTGGGCATTCACAGAGGATTCAGAAGGTTCCACTCAACAGAACAATTATCCATGTAAACTGCCCTAGCAGGATATAAGGTATACCACAAACTTCAACATCCATTTCTTCTCCTCCCAGGATCTTTGGAAAATACTGTAGTTGCTGCATCTTCTACTGAATAGCTAGAATTCCCAGAATTCATTGGGAAAAGCAATGACCGGTAAAGTGAATTACTTAAAAAAAAACAAAAAAACCAACAATATGGGTTTGTTAGACATACATGTCCCCAGGGAACTGCATCACTTAACTTAAGTCAGCCTATTCCGCTAGACTCTGCTGCATGAAGTACAGCAGGTTCCAGGTTTTGTAAATATAATTTTCACATCATTATAAGATATTACACACCCAAGGGATCCCTTCTCTGCTTCAGAACCCCTTCTGATCCTTTGGTTTTATTGAAATTCTCTAAAGTCAAGGAACCTAGAAAGAATTTATTTGTTTACAAGCGATGTTACTACCACCAGATGACGATGCTTCACTCTCTTCCTGAGTTTTTTTTTTTTTTTTTAGACTCCTTATATTGAGACATAACATGAGGATACAGCCTGGGAAAAGAAGGGATGTGCATAGAGAAAGATTGAAACAAACAGTGGAATCAACATAAAGGTTTCTGGCTTAATTATTGCAGCTTTACTGGAAAATGCAATAGTCAAGAATGGTGAAAAATATGTATAAAAGAAGGAGGATTTAAAAAAAAACTGAAGTTTATACCTTAGAGGGTATATTTTTGCTATCAAGGACCAGAATCAACAGCACAACCATATATAATAAACAGGACTGGGATTTTCCTGGTTGCCAAATCTTGGGAGACATCTTAAATGTTGATGCCTACTCTACAGCTTCAAGCAAATTTTAGTCGTACACTTAGAATGTTGGTTTGGGACCATCTGCATTACACAGAAATTGGCCACTCTTATAACACTACTTTGGACCTGAAATTCTAGTTTTAATTGTAAGAAAGTACAGTCATCCTATTCTAAAGGTTAAGAAGGCCATAATTGTAACTTCCTTCAACATTTGCTACATTGCCAAATGGACAGATGCAGACAAAAAGGTAAGCAAAATTCAAGAACTTAATTCCTAGCTGGAACAGTTTTAGGTAATAAATGTTTACCTCCTCCCGTGAAAGATCAAATCTGATTTCATCTTGTTCTCCCGAGTGACAAACCTGCACCCCCGTAAAAATGAGATTTTGGCTTCTTTAAAAGTGACAGTCTCCCTGCAATGATAGGAGCGTCTGTGTTCATATCTGAAAGCTTCTAACACAATATTACTTTCTGCAATGACTATTTAGAGCTGTGCTTCTACTGTATTATCAAACAAAGCAGCATGTTAACAAGTGGTCATTCTCTTTTCTTTATCCTAACCTGCAAATCAGAGCTACAATTTAGCCCATACGCAGACAAGAGTATGAATTTTACAAGTGTGTTTGTTTCTAAAAGCTGGATTTATGATTACCCCACACACCCCCAAGATTAATTTCAGGGTTGTTTCATTCTGTTGATTGTGGCAGGCCCTAGCTTTTAGGAATCGACCCAGCAGTGTAAATTTCTAGTCTTGTAAATGACACTCAATCCCTTCAGAGTTACATTGGGAGGGATAACATTTGGTCTGCTTCTGAGAGACCTTGAGGAACCGATCCAACTAAATGAAGTGAGTCTGCAATTCCAGACTCCATTAGCATTAAGAACCACTTATGAGATCTTACACAGCTTTACTGTGTTCCACCTGGCCCAGATTCCTTAGATCTCAAGCAAACCATGCTAGCATGGACCAGACTGTAACCTCTCTTTTGTTCTGCAGATCTGCTCTATATGCTATGCAAAGCAAGAAGTGCCACACTGCCATCTGCAGACAAGAGTTACCCCCTAACATGCACATTCAGTAATCAAATGTTCCTTGTAGCCAAGAGTACCTTCATTTCTTCCTTTTAGTACTGATGCGTCAGAAATTGTTGACTTCTCAGTGCTTTAGCCAAGCATGAATGTTCAGGTTTTAAAATACATATTTTTTTAATATATATATATTACATTCTAAGGGCAGAATGTAATAAAAAGAAGAAAATAAAGCAGGAGGGAAGGGGACGAAGCAGAGAGAAAGATGTAAAGCAAAAGTTGGCATTACCTGTCTGGTGTGAACAGAGCCAGGAGCCTTGAATCCTCCCTGACAGCTGCATTCAGAGACACTGTATGGGTCCGAGCTACTGGAAGAACACTTGGAGAGGGAATCACATCCCACCACAAAAGTGTTATCCAGAGGCAGTTCCTGTATGACATGGTGTTTCTTCGGTGGTACTGGAGTCTCAGGTTTAATTTGAAATGTGGGCTGTGGAGTGGCAGACTTGTAGTGCTTTGCTAAATCTGGACTGTCAGGTTTAAAGGTGGTTGGTGTGGTGGCCCAGTTATATTTTCCCATAGTCTGTTCTTCTAGCTCTACAGGAATGTCCAATGTGCCATTGATGTGTTCATGGCCAGGATCATCAGGCTTAGATTCTTCAATTGTCACAAAATTTAGAAGAAGACTTTTTGGAGAGCGCTTCTTCTTCTTCTTCTTCTTCTTGATCTGACGGTTTTCTTGATTTGGAGAAACCCACTCGCCACTCTGCTTGCTTTTCTGGACAACTTTGTGCCTGGGTGTTTGGCGACAACGAACCAGAGCTGTCACAAAAATGACCAAGATCACCGTCATGGTGCCTGCAATAATGGCAATGATGATTTTGACATAGTCATTGGTTTGTGGGGTAATGTCTCCATCACCAACATTTTGGCCAACTGGTGTTTCCATGTTTCGGCGCACCAACTCTTGGACATATGATCCATTGGTGACTGTTTCATTCACAAATAAATGTACTAATGCTATGGTATACAAGGATTCAGGCTGCCCTAAATCATTGACTTTGATTACTAGTCTGTGTAATCCATGATCTGCTGATATGACTTTCTCTTTCAAAGTGACATTGCCTGTTAACTGATCAATCATAAACAATCCCCGCGAATTCCCACCGATAATGCTGTAGCGGAGTTCAGCGTTCATTCCAGTGTCGTTGTCAACAGCAAACACCTTTGTCACTACAGAGCCAGGGCTGGTAGACATTGGAACCAAGTCATATGAGTAGTTTGTTGAAGGAATGACAAAAACAGGCCTGTTGTCATTCACATCCACTACATTGATAGTCACTTTAGCTGTTGACGTGCGTGGTAGCCGGCCCCCATCCACTGCTTTCACCTGAAAAGTGTAAGATCCTTGCTGTTCCCTGTCAAAAGTAATATTAGGCCTTATGACTCCAGTGAGAGGATCAATAATGAAATTATCTTTGCCATTTAATATAGACAAGGTCACTACTGCATTTTCTCCAGAGTCTGCATCAGTCACAGTGATCAGTCCAACCGTTCCATACATGGGTAGATTTTCTGGCACATAAAAGTTATACTCGTTGTGTGTGAAAGCAGGACTGTTGTCATTTTGGTCCAAAACTGAAACCGTCACAGTAGCATTGGTTTGCAAAGGTGGCATACCATTATCTTTAGCCAGCACTGTGAATGAATACCGATCCTGTTTTTCTCTATCCAGCTTTCTCACTGCTGTCAGAATGCCTGTACGACGATCCAGGTTGAAAATTGGAGGTGCATCCAATCCCAGCATGTAGCTGATCTCAGCGTTGCGGCTACTATCTGCATCTGTAGCACTTATCTTGGTCAGCTGGGTTCCAGGAGCATTATTCTCAGGAATAGAGAGCCCGATCACAGGCTGGGTGAACACTGGGGCGTTGTCATTTTCATCTTTGATTTTGATGAGGAGCATGGCAGACTGGTTCAAGGGTGGTTTTCCTGAATCCGAAGCCACTATTTTTATGGCGTATTCTCGGGTGGCCTCATAATCTAGGAAGGTGGCTGTTTCCAGCAGAAACTGATTATCAAACACTGGCTTTAACCTGAACGGTACATCGTGGTCTGTGAAGCAAGTCACTTTGCCATTAAGATCCGCATCTTTATCCATTACAGTAATCAGGGCAATTTTCGTATTGAGTGGTGCTTTCTCTGACAATAACACAGTCCCATTCACTGGATTGATAATGTACCTTGTGTCTATTGATGGAATGTTATCATTAATGTCTGTGACATTGACTGTTACTGTGGCTCTTGAGGGTGTTGAACTGCCGTCACTTGCTAAAACTGTTAATTTGTGTACTGGAGATTCCTCCCGGTCCAATGGCTCCTTGACGGTTATAAGACCCGTGGTGTTATCTATGGCAAACAGTCTTTTGGCCAAATTGGAGATCTGGCTGCTAAAATAGAAGTGAATCTGGGCATTTGACCCCAAGTCAGCATCTGTGGCATGAAGCTGAGAAACAGAGGTGCCCACTGCTGCATTTTCAGGAACACTGACTTCAATATCATTCTCCTTGAATACTGGACGGTTGTCATTAACATCAGTGACAGTGACCTGGAGGATGGCAGTGCTGGATCGTGGAGGGTTTCCACCATCTTCCACTTTAATCTTCATCACATAGGTGTCCTTCTGCTCCCTATCAAGGATTTGTTGCACTATCAACTGGGGCCACTTGTCTCCCTCCGGTGTTTCAATTATATCAAGTCCAAATACATTTTGACCCTAGAAGCCATAGAAAGAGAGAAGGGAATATATTATTGCACAGATCTGTTATAAACAGAACATACTTTTTTTTTTTTTCCTGAAAGATATCCATGTGCATTTTTCCATACATATTTTTATGCTTTGGTGTGACACCTCTAAAGAAGATGCAGTTCTATGCACTTGTGACCTTGGAAATAAATCCCACTTAATTCAATGGGTCATCTTGTTTAGTCAACCTGGCTATGAAACGATCTAACAAGAAATTACAGGTTATTGTCCTTTGAATTAAATAAATTCTTAACTTTCAATATACTCAAGAATGTTGTGACATTAGCTACATATACAATGGCCTGATATTCATTCATGAGTCATATATGGGCTTGACGTTGTGTGGTTATTCCTGTTTAGAAATGTCACAGGAAGCAGGAAGCTAATACACACCTCCTCCACCATCCCTACCACCAAATGGCCTGACACTCATCGGTATCTTTTCTAAAGGATAATTTGCAGGGATTTCCAAAGTTTACAAAATGGTGATAATTGGGAACCAACATGCTTACACAAATGGTAACAATAAATAGCCAATAGTGTTTTTGTGATAAAAATGTCTGTGAGATAAGGAGGGTTTTGTTTACTGGATATAGACAATTCTGAAAATAAGGTTCAAGGATGCTTTAAATTATATTCAGCAAGGAAAAAAAAGAAACCAATTCAGACTTTTTTTTTTTTCCATATGATGGCATTTGGTGAAAATGCAAAAAGAAGCATGTGATGGATATGCATGTTGATGACATGACAAGCATAGCTTGTGGTTACCTATATGCCAGCTAGTTCTTTCCCATCCTATCATGGGCTTATCAACAAATATTTATTTATTTGTTGAAATTTATAGAGCTGTCCATCTCAGTATAGTGACTCTGGATGGTTAACAACAGATATAAATGCCATACAACTAACATCTGCCACTTGACTTCTTTGAGACTTCTCCATCATCAACCTATGACTCCCACCCTCACCAACCAAAGACAAAAACTAAAATAATCAGCTATTTCCTTGGGGTTTGTTCCTTTGGTTGGTGGTAGCTGGAAGTTGAGAAGCATTAAACAAGACAGCTGTTTGCAATAAATCATGTTCACAACTAACCATAAGCTATGTCCATCATGTCATCCAAGCATGGACTACATGTCTTTTGAGTGATATGTTCCTCCTGTCTACACCTTACACATCTACTTCTTTACCATCTTTGTTAAAGAAGAAACAGTGATATGTTAAGAGTAATGGAAACATATACAATAACAGAGAACAGATGACCACCTCATTTCATAGTATAGATACTAATGGGTTTTTCAGGGGGAGGGGATCCCCTTTTATCTAAGCTTTACCTTAGTAGATGTACAGCAAAAAGCTTTAAAATGGTAGCCCAATATTTAACACAATGAGACTGGCCTCCCAGCAACCCAGCTGGTTATAGCAAGTGGCAGAACCTAACTACACTTGGCTGATGTTTAAAAAGCTGAGCAGCATCAGACATAAGCAGTCTCTGGATGAAAGTCTGCCAGGAGATACCAAGGCTGTAGGCTAGACAAGCAAGTTGAAAAGAACAGAAGCAATAATTCTGTATTGTTGCCAAGAAAAAACCTAGTCAGGTCCATAAGGTCACCAGGAGTCAAGCTTGACTTGAGGGAGACTTTATCTTTTTAACCTTTTTAACCATGTCCTTAAGCTTAGTAGCTAGATTTTGAAATGCTCTCACCCCAAAGCAGCTTTTTCAGCACTTTTCAACTTTTTAAATGTTCCCTAACTCTTTTCCAAGTCCAAAGCCTAATGACGTGACACATCTTTAAGTTGGAAGAACTTGTGGATGGATGAATATGAGACTCCAGGCAATACAGCTGTCCTCAGTCAACCAGTACAGCTGCTTTGTATATCTAACATCTGACTGCCAGCTATTTTGTTGAACATGATTCCTCCAGTCATTGAATATTCTTTGTCATTAAATATTTGCTATATTCATGGAGTGCCCTATTTAAAAAGTACAAATTCCCCACAACTTTTGGTGTGAAGCAAAAATGGCCAAATGACAACTGAAACATGTAGGATTGTTATAAGCAAAACATGATGAAGACAGGTGTCTTTGTTTTTTTTATAATCATGCCTTTCATGGCTGCATTCCCAATACTACAAATAATGCAACCCTTATAAATGCACGGTGAGTGATAAGCAACCAGCCATAGGTTTTGTTGCGCATGGGATGGTATGTCCTTGTTACAATAAAGCAAACATGTAGGAATAGAAACAAATTCTGCCTACAGCATACAAGAACAAGATTTTGGTAGAACTAGTGGGGAATAAAAGAATTTCACTTCCAGATGGGCATATAAACCTGGGAATGTTGAATCCTCCTCCTCCCCCCCTTTTTTTTTTCTGGAAAGGGAAGGGAAGGGAAGGGAAGGGAAGGGAAGGGAAGGGAAGGGAAGGAAGGAAGGA